CAATTCACTTGATCAATTCAGGGTACTAGGAAAAAAATCAATAGGTATTCTTTAAATTTACCAATCCAGTCCAGAAGCTATTCGGTAAAGAATTCAAGATACATAATTTGATACACAGTGTGCTCTCAATGGTGTTTCATACATGTGGAAAATGACTGAAAGGAAATATGCCAATATGATAACGTATGAGAATATTATTTTTTATCAGAGTTCTGTTTCAACTTCAGCCTTAATAAAAGCCAGGCAAATTGTCCTGGTTGGTCTCCCTCCTTCCAATTAAATGAGTCCTGTTGAATGGGTTGTAATTTCTTTGCTTCCTTATGGAGGTAAGTTCCTCAGCCTATAGGAAAATTACTAAATCCCAACCTTGAGAGTGAACTTGCAAGTGGTGAAAAGTATGGTAGTTTTTATACTAGTGATCTGGTGACAAACGAGCTGGGGCACAGAAGGAAGCCTTTGCATTCTCAGGCCTCCCAAACTGCATTGCCAGGGAGCAATCAATCCAGCCTACCTTCACCAGAACCCTAAAGCCTGCATCAGCTGCAGTGTCTGACAGACTCTCCAAAGACCACACAGCAAATGGACAGAGCAGACCTTCTCAAATTAAGAGTGTCCATCTTGCCTAACAGGTTGCCTACAGGCCCAATTCTATGCAAGTTCAGACATCTGCCAAGCTCCTTCAGGAAAATGTACAAGAAGACAACAGTGATTGGACCATATATATAAATGATTACAGATTGCAAATATCTTAGGAATTTGTGTATGTGTGTGTGCACATGTGTATACACATGCATTTCTGATAAGGATCCAAGAGGAGGTTAATATATTTTAAAATATATTTAAAGTATGTTTTATGGATATTTAAAATATATTTTATTTCTATCATGAAATTTTATCATGTCAAAATAAGTCACTAAAAATTCTATATGGACCTGGGGGCAGGACTTCCAGAATGGAGGAGTGAAGGACTCAGCAAATGCTCTCTCTAAAAAGGAATGATAAAACTGGACAAAATTGTTTTAAAAAAATAATAACCATTCTAGGACTCTGGAAATTGACCAAAGGCACACATCAAATAAAGAAGGGTTTACTGAAGAAAAATTACTAAACCTCAAGCAGGAACAGTGAGAGTCTGTGGCATTTCAACATAGGGCTGCTCTCATCTCCTCTCCCCCCAGCTTCATCTGCATCCACTTTCAGGGGGCTGAAGTGATTTGGAGTAAAGCAAGGAAAAACGCCATACCCCTGAGCAATGTCACAAAAGTGGTAATCTCAGTGGCAAAAAGGGAAGGCTAGCAGCTCAGATAGCCTGAGGTTGTGTTCTGAAGCAAGCAAGAGACTGGCAGACTAGCCAGAAATTAATCAGGAAGATCAGGAAAATAAGATAGCCATAGTGGGCCATTATAACTTCTGAAATATCCCTGGTAGTCTGAAAGCTGAACACATGTAGAAGGATGTATACATATTCAGGAGGGAGTGGAGAAGGCCCTACCTATCTACATATCCCAGGATGAACGTGATGCCTCGTGCAGAAGAAATGCAATAAAGTGCGGAAGAAAGTAAAAGCCAGAACAAACATCAACGGAACTTGCCTGATCTTTGCATGCACCCTCCAATCCACACGTGGGTCCACTAGCAAAGAGTGGCAGCTTTACTAGCTCAAAGAATTTGAGCACAACCTCTGATCAATCACTGTCTGACCATTAACCTTCGCTAAATAAGGGGCAACCCTTAGGAAGCCAGACCTACAAATAACAACAGACCTACAACAATAACAAAAAGTGAGCAGAGGCATCAGGGGCTACATACTGTGATAGAGACAGACTCTAAAGCAGGGTTTCTCAGCAAGAGCACTATTGCTATTTTGGATCAGATAATTCTTTGTTGTGGTGGGCATAGGAGTTCCTCTGCATTATAGGATGTTTGGCAGCATCCCGGTCCTCTACCCACCTGATGACAATAGCACCCTGCCAAGTTGTCACAATCAAAAATGTCTCCTGACAATGCAATGTCCCCTGGGGGGCAAAATCACTCCCAGTTGAGAACCACTGCTCTAATTAATTAATCCAGGCAAGTCACTAAACAAACAAACAAACATAAAACAGATATGATGCCATTATCCTTGGAATGAACAGGGACAGGATAAAGAGTTCTTGCAAAGGATAGGATAAAGAGATGCTACAATATATTATCTAAAATGTCCAGTTTAGGGGCCGGCTCTGTGGCTTAGCGGTTAAGTGCGCGCGCTCTGATGCTGGCGGCCCGGGTTCGGATCCCGGGAGCGCCCCGAGGCACCGCTTCTCCGTCCAACGCGAGGCCGAGTC